TTGGAGTGACAACGTGGTTGATGACTGTCCTTCCCTTGCAGCCAGAAAGCATAGTTGTATCCATGGAGCCTAGGACAGTGTTTAGCTGTAGAGCCTTGGGTAAAAGCCACCTGTGGACTCTAGCTCTGGAGAGGGAGTGGCCTGAAAATGTAGAGGATGTTCTAGACTGGAAGTGCATGGTATACGAGGGAGGTGCAGAACTAAGATGAGGGATCTGGAACAGATCCTGATGGACAGGCAGAGTAGCCTACGATGAAACAGAGCAGACCTATGGACCAGTCAAAGGACATCTTCAGGCAAGTTCCAAGGGCAGCAGTGTTGGAGGTGGTCATGGCTACCCTTTACTGGCTACCAATGTGGCCACACAGTATTGAATTGTGGACACATGACAGCTCATTTATTTTTCTTAGCAGCACCATGAATAAGTTGTTCTTAATACTGTATTGTAGCAGAGGCAACAGAGGCACAGGACCCCTAAGCCTGAGGTCCCTCAGCCGCAGAGAATGAGGCCACCACTGTGAGGCCTTGTCATTGTCCTCCCAGACTTTGATGAGGCTGATGAGATGAGTTGGGGGCCAGAAGACAATGGTGTGGAAGGCTAAGCTGGCAGCAGAGGTGCAGTTGGGGCTCTAGGCTCTGTGCCCAGAAGGCAGAACTAGAGGAGCTGGATGGAGGGGGCTGGGTGTGGGTCAAGTGTCTAAGCTTTGTGGAAGTCAGTGTGGAACCAGAGACCCGGAAGCTGGAGGCCCATGGACCCGGAAATCCTTGAAGGGACAACCCAGTACAAAAGTCCATAGCCCGGCAGGAGTGCTGAGGGCCTCCCCTAGTCTTAAACAACTTCCTGGCTCCAAGAACACTTCGTGGCTTCTCTGCACCACGGCAGAGAAACACAGGTAGCCGGAGATCCCATAGTTAACATATGCAGAAGAGGACGGCAGCCCCACTCTGCTGGCTTTCCAACCAGTGCTCATTCTGAAACATTCTGACCTTTGTGAGGGGCACCCTGAAACAGAGGCAAACGCCAGCATCCCCATTCCCAGAGCAGGAAGTGGCTTTTGAGGGCATCTGCTGTGCCTGGCATCTGATGGTGGCAATGAGTCATGGGCGTGAGAACCTCAGGCTGCCTGTGGGGTCAGCGGGGATGGCTCCACAGCCAGCGACTGTATGGTACTGGGCAGGTCACCTCCAGCAGCCCACAGCTACCTCCGAAACCCAGTCGCTGGTGGGGGTCTGGGGTCAGAGCCACAGCTGGTATGAACGAGAGCTCCTGGCCATCATTGATGCCACCCTTCCTCGGACTGTTACAAGCTCTGGATCGCATTTGGGAAGGGATTTGATTAGGCCCTGGGCAATGGCTCCATTTAGAGGTCCTGGCTCATTTCCTGTGGCTGCTAGCAGGCCAGGCAAAGGCAGAATTAACCCTGCTCCAGCCTAGCCAAAGAAATGATGGATGAAAGGAAGGATAGAGACCAGGAGGGATACAGACCCTCTCAGGGGGCTGAGGGCAGCAGTAGCCTGTGGAGCTTGGGACCTAATGACTTGACAGATCAGGCTAGTCTCCCCGGGGCACCCTGGCTGGATTCCCATCACCCCAGCTTGTTGCAGCAGCTTTCAAATCAAATGTCTCCAACTACCTGCACTTCCTTTTACCGGAGCGCTCAACACACCCCTCGTCTAGCCTTCATTCTATTTCTTCCTTGAGGTTTCTATGATGACTTATTCCCTGCTGCCCTACTGCCTACGGACAAGTGAATCTGCGTGTCCTGCCCTCATGTCTTCCCAGCACTGCCCAGAGCAGGCTTGACATAGACAGCTCTGCCCATGTCACTCTTCTCTCTGACAGGACGGTGCACACCAGCAGTTTATCCTGAGACCCCTCCCGTCACTCCACACTTCTGGGGTCCTCAGGTCTCCTGTAAGCTTCTCTAGAGGATGCCCTCAAGCCATGGCCACCCTAGCTAGCTCTCCCAGGAACGCTGGCCTGGCCAAACCTGCCCACTGTGGTCTCAGTACACACAGATCTTGCCTGGGAGCTTGGCACAGAATGCAGAGCACTGACTCTGGGTAGATGGGCCTGGGGCATGGGGAGTGCTCCTCAGCCTGGGACAGGAGACAGGAGTTCTAACCCTGTACAAGTCTCCACTCTCTTAGCTGGTTCTCTCACCACCTCTGCTCCGTATCTGTAACAGAGACCATTAGTAGTTGCCATCCTGTCTCCTGGGCTAGACACTGTGAAGAAACTGACAGGGGCATTGAAGCTCACAACAACCAGCTTGGGGAAAGCCCTTCAACCCTGGGTTACTTCCTACTTCCTAGCTGACATGGGGGGGCTGGGGACAGGCACCCTGCTGCCTGTCTCCTCCTGGTTTTGTTTGGTTTGGCCTCAGACTAGGCCTGCCTCTGTCAACTCAGGCAGGCTGACTTGCATTTCTGGTTTGGGGCTTATTGTTGCACTTTCCCTGAGGGGATGAGGCGGGCTCTGTGGACAGGCACCTGTGGGAGAGGAAAGGGGAAATTCACTTGACTCCTGGGTTAGTGTCATTTTGTACCAGGCCCCGAGGGCACCCAGCAGCTATTTCCTCCCATCTTTCCCCAGGACTGAAGAGGCAGGTGGAAGCCAGGTTATGGTGGAAGTTGGGGCGGGGTAAGTGTGGGGGCCCATGATCTTGCTGCAGTAGAATTTGCTTTTTCTGTTGTAGATACTGCCTGGCAGACATGGGTTTGAGACCAAGCTGTGATCAGAAGCAGATATGTGAAGGGTAGAACCAGATTTGGGTCCTGGCCCCAGCCTAGTGTCTGACTTGTACACGGTAGCTCTGGGACAGTCATTGAGGCAGACTGTTCAAGACCCTCAGGTGTCCTATCTATCCCTGGGTGGCCTCTCTTTCTACTTGAGAACAACCTGGAGAGGTAGAAGCTTCGCCCCTGAGTTTTCTGGCATTCTTGGAATAGGAGGCTTGGTACCCCCACCAGAGGCAAACTTTGATTCTGGATATTTGGTTGTGTTTGCTTCTACAGTTTTGTAGGGAAGACATGCTTTGAATTCAGAATTTCCCTCTAGATCTGTCGTTAACACTGTACCCACTGTCACCATACTCTTATATTTCTTTGTAGTGCTTTCTCCTGGTTTGTGACTTGTGTGGCAGACATTCCACTTCAAAAGTGGATACTTGGAAGCCCAGTGACTGCTGAACAATCTTAGGGTCACCTCTGCCCATCTCTGGACTGATCCTTTCTGTCTAAGTCGGTGGTTCTCAGCTTTCCCAATGCTGCGGCCCTTTAGTACAATTCAGGATGCAGGTAGACCTTCCTGGAGAAGGACAGAGGAGTGGTATCTCAGTTCCCAGGAGCATCAAAAATATGTGTTTTCCAATGGCCTTAGGTGACCCCTGTGAAAGGGTCGTTCAACCCCATAGGGGTCGTGACCCACAGGTTGAGAACCGCTGGTCTAAGCTGTGGGGATTTAGGGTAACTGAAGCTTTAGATTCTTAGGGATCTCTGAGTAGTAGCCTCCTGGCTGGCTCCAGGAAGGAAGCTCCAAGAAGTCACTGGTGCCCATCGTTGGCCTGGGAACCACAGCCTTGGGTCATCCCATAGTCCTTTGATGCTTCTGTTTCCTCCCTCTACTTGAGGACACTTTCATTTTCATGCACCTGGATGTGGCTCTTCCCGCCTTGCGCTTTCACATCCCCTCTGATGCTCTGTCCCGCATGTGCAGCATCCTGAAGCTATCCGGAACCACAGATGGCTTTCTTAACTCTAGCGGAGAGGTCTAGCTGGAACTTTATTGTGGTCACCATCTCCAGGCATGGCCTTTTTGTCTCTGGGAAGCTGGACAATAGTGGTTAGGTCATTGCTCTGGGGGGTTTAGCTTCCTTGTCCGTCAAATGGCCATCATGATCTCTATAGCAAGAGATCAGAACTTGTATGCTAGGGTACCTTCTGTTGGAGCTCTCTGTACCAGTATGCTTTGAACATACATTCCCATGCGCTAAAGCTTTCTAGGGCATGTGTGTATGTGTGTGTGTGTCTGTGGTTTCCTCTTCCATTAGTTTGGTGTAGATATGGCTGTTTGAAGAATGAAAACTGGGTTCTAAGTAGATCTAGCTGTTGTATTCCAAGCCTTTGAGTACAGTCAGGCCTCACTCAGGCCTGAGGCCTGCTTCCTGCTGTGACAGTAGAATGGCGTTCTCTGTGTTCTATGGACACTACTTCCTCTGAGACAGCAGCATCTTACACTCTTATTAGAGGACAGTGTCTGTCTTTGCAAATGTAATCTACTGTCAGAACCCAGTAGGAATTCCCAGGGCTCCTTCCATTGTGTATGAGGCAGGAAATGATGCCTTTCTTGTCTTTTTCATTCATTCGTTCGTTCGTTTATTTTTTAAATATCTGGGGTTATCAGGTAGATAGACAATCCCTCAATGAGGTCCCATATATCTGAGACATCCGACCATTCCAGGTATTGGGCAACATTTGAAAGCTTTGGTTTTCGTTCAGTTGACTGGCTTCAAATATATACGTAACATTTAGAGCAAGTTCTTGTTTGGATGATTCACTTAGATCCTTGTTTTAGTTGTTGTTGGTTTTGATGTAGTGACCCTCTGATGAGATTCAAGATTGTTCCTCATGCTAAGAGTTCCAGCTTGGTGGCTTGGGTTTGGTTCTGGTTTCTGAAGGCAGAGACTGCTGGTGTCTCCTTTATACACACAGGCAAATAAGGACAGTGATGCTTCCCATGCAGAAAGAGGACATCTGGGCTGGCATGGTCCCCACAAACCAGCCAAGCTAGATAGAGCTGTCTTCCCTCAGTAACCAGTGTGCTGAACATAGAGCAGGTTTGAAGCTAGAGGATCGTATAGCCCAGTCCTGGGAGTCTTGGGCTTCTGTCTGGCTCTCAGACTGACTGTAGGATTCTGGTATTGGTATCAGCCTGTGTGGTACTGGCTCAAACATAGAGTCTGGCATCTCTGAGCCTCCTTCCTTTTTTTGTGATGCAGATGTTTGAGACAGAGGCAGATGAGAAGGAGATGCCCCTGGACGAGGGGAAGGGGCCAGGTGCTGAGAAACCCACACCCATCAAAGACCTCTCTCCAGGCCAGGAGCTTCCTCTGGGACAAGACCTCCCACCCGGGAAGGACCCCTCTCCAGGCCAGGAGCTTCCTCCGGGACAAGACCTCCCACCTGGGAAGGACCCCTCTCCAGGTCAGGAGCTTCCTCCGGGACAAGACCTCCCACCTGGGAAGGACCCCTCTCCAGGCCAGGAGCTTCCTCCGGGACAAGACCTCCCACCCGGGAAGGACCCCTCTCCAGGTCAGGAGCTTCCTCCGGGACAAGACCTCCCACCCGGGAAGGACCCCTCTCCAGGCCAGGAGCTTCCTCCGGGACAAGACCTCACACCCAGGAAGGACCCCTCTCCAGGCCAGGAGCTTCCTCCGGGACAAGACCTCACACCCAGGAAGGACCCCTCTCCAGGCCAGGAGCTTCCTCCGGGGCAACACCTCATACCCAAGAAGGATTCTTCTTCGGCGCAAGAAGCAGCTCCTGGCCCAGAGTCACCATCCGGTGAAGACACAGCTACCTGCCAAGAGCCCCCTCAAAGTCTAGAAATCCCAACAAGCAAGGACCCCCCACCATGCCAGAGCTGCCCTCCAACCACAGAACTCCCAACTTGCCAGGACCTTCCTGCCGGTCAAGCATCTATTCCTAGCCAGGACCCTCTGCTCAGTCAAGAGCCCTCTGTCATCCTAGAACCTTCTGCCTCAGTCCAGAACCTCCCACCCTCTCAGGAGTCACCTCCCAGCCAGGGATCCCCACCAGAGAAAACCCTTGATGAACAGACCATCAGCTCCCGGGAGCTACCAGGAGCCAGTGCAGCCATACCTCCAGCCTCCAGGCCCAACTTTGTGATCCCTGAGGTGCGGTTGGATAGTGCCTACAGCCAACAGGATGGGGCCCATGGGGGCAGCTCTGGTGAGGAGGAGGATGCAGAAGAGGGAGAGGAGGGGGAAGAAGGGGAGGAAGATGAGGAGGACACCAGCGATGACAACTATGGGGACCGCAGTGAGGCCAAGCGCAGCAGCCTGATTGAGACTGGCCAAGGTGCCGAGGGCGGCCTCTCATTACGTGTGCAGAACTCGCTGCGGCGCCGGACGCACAGCGAGGGCAGCCTGCTGCAGGAAGCCCGTGGGTCCTGCTTTGCCTCTGACACCACCTTACACTGCTCTGATGGCGAGGGCACCACATCCACCTGGGCCATCCCTTCACCCCGCACCCTCAAAAAGGAACTGGGTCGTAATGGAGGCTCCATGCACCACCTTTCCCTGTTCTTCACTGGACACAGGAAGGTAAGATGAGGAATTGGGGGCAGAGGGAGGGTAGATACAAGGGATGGAGAGTGGCTCCATACCACCCACCCCCAACACTCCTTGGCTTCCCAATGAACCTTCTGCCCATTTGATAGAAGAAAAAACCCACTGAGACCTCAAGGTACCAAGATGTTCTGTTCTCCCAGCTCCGTTGTCCAGTGGTCTCTGCTGAAGACAGAGATGTGGTTTGGTCCAGATCATTGTGCATTTCGATCTAAAGGCCCAAGATGGTAACTGGAAAAACAGAGCATTGCAGGGCCGAGGAGATGACTTTGTGGGTAAAGCACTTGATTGAGTCCCCAGAACCCACACAGAGCTAGATAAGCTAATGTACCTCTGCAATCCCTGTGCTCCTAAGGCACGATGGGAAGCAGATGAGAGGATCCCTGGGTTGTCTAGACTGGTACCAGCAGCAGCAAACAATGAAGAAGAACCTTGTCTCAAACAAGGTAGACATGAGGACTGACACCCAGGGTTATCCCCTAACCTCTACACCCACACCCCTTCCACATACACACACATACACACAAATTAATATTACGATTCAGATCTGGCCCAGGCCTAGCCAGAATAGAGATTTATTATCTAACAACAGAGACAGCATAGGCAGTTCACACCAGCACATTAATATGCTCACTCGTTCTGTGCCCATTTTGTATTTTGTACCCATTTTGCAGATGAAAAACCTGAGGCCCAGAGAGGTTGTCTAACTTGACGCAGATCAAGGTATATAGTTTACAAGTGTCTGAGCCAGAAGCAGAGCCTGATTCCAAGACCAGAGCTCTTAAGAACGCTGCTATTTGCCTTGTGTTTATAAACAGGCAAATCAGTGTTTATGGTGTTTCTGCTTTGTGCCAGGCCCTTGCTCAGTGCCTTAGCAGAGGCTGCATAAGCCTCAGGGTGGGGGAGAGGGGGCAGGCTGATGTCAGCTGGGGAGGAGAAAGAAAGAGCTCTCCTCGTGGGCTGGAGACTTGGCCTAACGGAACAAACCACACTGTGGCCTTTAAGTCCAGCAGCCAGTGTAAGCCCAAGTTGTATTCCTTACCTATGGTGTGGTCTTGAGTGAGTCACCAGCTCCTCTGAGACTTTATTTCCTTCTCTGAAAAGTAGGGCTTAATACCTCTCTGTGTCCCTGAGTGGGTGACGATGAACTGGAAGAGCCTGGGGCCTGAGGGCATGATTGACATCACTTTGGAAGAAGCCCTCGGGGAGCTCTGCTTCTGCTCCTTTACTTGGAGTGCATTCTCAATGCTAAAGTGTTGTTATGACAACTGTATGAGGCTAGGTGGGAGCACGGCCGATGCTCAGAGATCTGAAAGTTCAGGAGAGACCCCAGGGCCTGGGACTGTCAAGAAAACCTAGAAAAAAATGCCCTCATCAGGGCCTGGAAGGTCAACTACATTTAGGACAAATTGAACGTAAGACTAGAACAAAGTATTCCTGAAGCACAGACACATGACACCGCCATTCCCTAGCCAAACCCATGGCAGACATCAATAATGGATACCAGCTTACTTTGACACCAAGTCGGGACATGGCCTCCAAAGCCTTCTTAGCCAGCCATGGTGGTGCATGCCTTTGGTATAATCCCAGCACTCAGGAGTCAGGGGCAAGTGGATCTCTGTGAGTTCAAGGCCAGCCTAGTGTACAGAGTAAGTTCTAGAAAACCATACAAAGTGAGTTCTAGGACAGCTGGGGCTGTTACATAGAGAAATCCTGTGTCTAAAATCAAAGCAAAGCAAAACAAAACAAAAAACTAACGAACAAAAATACCTGGACCAAAACCTTCTCATCTTTGTAACCACCTGCATTACTACAGACCTGGCATTTTGAAACCCACTTTCTGCAGAACCGACCTGAGCTTTGGGCCTGGACACTAGGACTGAACCTCCAGGCCTTGGGGTTGCTTCTGTTTCCTCACCTGTAAGTTCCCAGAGAGGGTGTCACCTTGCAACTTTTCATCTCTAGCCCAGCTCTCTGGTATCAAAATGTTCAGGACTGGTACCCAGACCCTGCACTTAAACGAGAGCTCCTGGGATTGTGACACTTGTCTGAGCTTGATGACCACTGTTGCCATTGCCATCTTAGGCGATGGGCACCATTAATTACCGTCTTAGGCCAGTCCTTGGAAGAGAGCCTGGAACCATGTCTCACCGAGATAAGATCTCAGGCACACACAGGCACTGGCTATCCTTTTTAAAAAGGGGCAGCTGAGGCCCAAGGGCCGAACCACCTCCCTTGGGCTTTGCTAGCCTGCCTCTCGCTAACCCCTCCCTTCCTGTTCTGTTTCTTCTACCATCCTTGCTCCAACCCGAATATTTATATACAGGGAACTTAACACGCATTCATGCATGCATTCCAACTTGCCCCTCAGTTCAGGTGACCCCATCCCAAGGACAGATGTCCCCACCTGGGGTCTGTGGCAGCTCCCTCCTGCCTCAACTTAGTGTTGCCCAAGGGTTCCATTGGTATCTTCCCATCTCTAACCCTTCCCCATCCACATCACTTCCTTCCTCAGGCTTGAGTGACTGAGCTGCTAGGGCCCTCAGAGGCCATGCCTAGCCTGTGGGGGATCACTCAGCCCTGTGGCTTCCACTCTAGCTTCTGAGTAATTCATCATTCCTGTCCCTTCCAGCCTCCAGCTTCAGTCAGAAATCCATCCAGGGCAGGGAGATGTGAAGCCCAGACTAAACAAGACCATGGTCAAACAGCATTCCTCACTAGCAGAGGGCCTTGGGCTAGTCCTTGCCGACTCTGAACCTGTTTCCTCATGGAGTAGTTATGGTACTAATATTGCCAAGGGCTGCCGGGAGGCTCAAGTAGCTGGATGCAGGAGCTTAAGGCAGGGCCTGGCACTCTGCTCCTGGCGGACCTCTGGGAATGGTTGTCATGCTGCTGAGGTGGTGGTGGTGTGAGCATGGCAACCAGGTTTTCTTTTCTTTTCTTTTCTTTTCTTTTCTTTTCTTTTCTTTTCTTTTCTTTTCTTTTCTTTTCTTTTTTCTTTTCTTTTCTTTTCTTTTTCTTTTCTTTCTTTCTTTTTTTTTTTTTTGTTTTTGTTTTTGTCTTTTGAGACAGGGTTTCTTTCTTTGTGTAGCTCTGGTTGTCCTAGAACCCACTCTGTAGACCAGGCTGGTCTTGAACTTACAGAAATTTGCCTGCCTCCGCTGTCTGAGTGCTGAGTGTGACACCACCAGGCTCAGCAGCTTTACCCTCACATGCAAAGCACCCCATGAGCCTTTCTGACCTTCATAACTCCACAGCGTTGCTGCTTCTTTATCTGAGGTAGGGTCTCATCCTGCATAAGTCTCTGTGTAATGCAAGCAGACCTTGTACTCAGACCTTGTACAATTCTCCTGCTTCAGCCTCTCAAGTGCAAGGATTGCAGGCCCCGGCCTGCTGTCCCTCCTGCTACTAGAGTTCTTAGTGGGAAGGGCTGAAACTCTTTTGTCCCAAGCCACACACAACCGTGGCTCTGCCCCTGGACCCCACATGCCTCATGCTGATAGGCTGACAGAAGGAGAGGGGCGTGTTCTCTCATGGTCTTTACCCTCCTGGCTTGGGCCTGGCTCTCTGGAGTGAAGTGGGCAGGTGTGGAGACAGATAGACCCTTTCCAGTCTCAGTTCTGCCTCCTCTCTGACTTCGAAACCTTGGGCAAGTCACTGCTTAGAGCATCGGTTTTCTTCCTGTCTTCCCTGGATGCATTCAATTCTAGGTCAGAGAGTTTAAAAGCCCGAGCACGGCACAGTCATCTTGTGGTGACGTGACAGCCAGGAAGGCCAGGTGGAGCTGCTGTGACCTTAGGCTGGCCACACATGTGCTGCTGTGTGGCCAAGCTGTGTGGCTATGAGCACAGGCTACTCAGGGTGGCAGTCACATTGTGGTCTCCACCCACGGCTGCCACCCTGCTCATGTGCCCTGAGCAAATTCTACGGTAAGTTCATGTCCTAGAACCACACACACCTTGCAGACTGCCAGCTTGGACTAGTGGCTTCACAGGTCTAGACCCTCTGAGGTCTAGAGAGTAGGGAAACCATGAGGCTCTCCGGTGGCACATTTACTGGGCCTGTTCTCTGTGTGGAGCCCAGCTGGTTTATGGCGCCCCCTGCTGCCGAACCCTTGGAGGCCTAGCACAGGGATGCGCAGTTGGCCTCTGGTGCTGTTCCCTGCCCTCCAGGTGATTCTGTGTGTGAGCCCAGGATCCACCACTGACTTAGACACTTCAGCCTTGTCTGGCCATTCTTTGACCTTGAGAGAAACACAGGTGGTGGCCCTCCTCTGGCTCCGCTTCCTTCCTGCCTCCTTGCAGGGTCTGTCATGGCTCCTGCCAAGGTCACAGGTCAGACAAAAGAAGACTAAAATGCTCTTTGTCCCCGGAATGGGATAACACTTTCTGAGCTTCTATTTTCAAAAAGCCTAAAGATGTTTCCTATGTCTAAATTCCCCATGTCTACGTAAGTTTAATGCACAGGACCCAGAACACAGCCACACATGAACACACAACCTCAGAGTCAGGCCAGGACCAAGAGGGGGAATCAGCTAGGGTCCTGTTCAGAAAGGAGCCTGCTGGGCTTTGATGCCAGTCCCCAAGTCTCGGCATCTTACCAGCTCAAAGAGCCCAGGCAAGTTATGCTGCTCTGGGCCTGTTTCCTCGGCTGCAAGCTGGGAAAAATAGTAGTAAATGGTACTACAGACTTTATCACAGAGCCTGGTACACAGTACTTGCAATGGTTGATGTGCATCGACCATCCCCCATCTCCACCCCTATGCCTTTGTGGACTCACAGCAGCGCTGTGAGGTGGGTTCAGTTTCGACCCTCATTTTACTAATAAAGGAAGCAGACATGGCAAACAGATGGAACACAGCTAAGGTCAATTAGCTAATAGGTGATTGAGCGAAGACTGAAATCCAGGCTGTTTAGAAGCTACATTCTTAATCATGACTGTAATTATAGTGGTAATGACAATAAGAATTATAGTTATTATTGCAAGAGACTGTGAGCTCTAGGTCCCAGAGGTGGCAGGGTGAGGCCAGGCCGGCCCCGGGGATCCTTGCCAGAGCGCAGGAAGGGCCAGTGACTCCGGGCTCATTTCTGTCACCTTTCTCGGCAGGGCAGGGTCATGGAGGAGGGGTAGGGACAGGTGGAAGGGGCTGCCCTTTGGCAAGCTGGGCCCTGAGCGGCCTAGCTGCAGATGGAGGAAGACGAACTTGGGGGCCATGCTGGCACCTCCAAAGACCCAAGGCTGCTTCCAGTGGGCACATTTAAGAATCACTAGGGCCCGGCAAGTTCCTGCTTTTCTGTCTTAGGTTTTGCTCTCCCTGGTTGCAGCCCTCTCCCATCCCCTTCTCCTTTTAATGTCTAGGTTTCCTAGTTGTCTGAAAGCTGAGTCCAAGGGCCAGAGATTCCCAGCCCACTGCCCTGCTCCTGGGCCTTGACTGGTCCCTACTGAAGATGACCCCACCCCACCTCCAGTAGTGGAAGGAAGAGCCCATTTCCCAGCAGTACAGAGACTGGGGGTGGTGGTTGGCGGGAGTGGTCCCCAGGCCCATTGTGTGGGGCTGATAAAGTGCGGAAGCTGAGGTTAGAATGGGAGGAAACCCAGCTCCCTGGGCCCTTTCCCACGGGTGGGGGCTCCAAGCATTGCTGAGCTAGCCTGGCGCAACTGCAACCACAGCCTGTGTCTCTGTGGGACAGCAGCAGTGAGCTGTTGAGGGCACCATGGGTGCCAAGACTGTCTGGTTGGGAACCCAGACTTCATCCTGGTAAATCTTTTGCCTGTTTTGGCAGGTAGCTCACCCTAGGTCTCTGCTGTCATCTAAACAACCAAAATTTCCTTTTCAAGTTGGTGTAAACAGCACACGTGCTGGAGACTGGCTCCACACCACGTGGTGTGTGCCCCCGGTGCACGTACACACGAGTTTCCCGCTCTGGTGTGGCCACCAACTCAGGAAGGAGGCAGCCTTTCCTGAGTCTTTCCTTGGAAACATTAGCCTTATGCCATCTTGGCACGTGAGTGAATGCGCCCTCTGGTGGACAGGCCTTGACTTACACAGGCTTAGCCTGTCATTTAAAAGCTCCGTGTTCTTTGGGTAATTGACTGGGATCCTCTGTTTACTTGTGGAATTACTAGGAGGATTAATGACATAGAAGCTAGAGGAAAAGCTTGAGGCAAGTAGGAGATGAAGGGTACCAGGAGAGAGGGCCTCTCATGCAGGTACAGTCCAGGCAAGGGCAGAGGGCTGGGGCTGTAGAATCTGCAGGAGGCAATGAGACATGGGGTTGAAATTTCCTGCCCTGGATCCAGCAGTGGGGACTCCCAGATGCATTGTCCCCAGTCTACGTCCCCTTCTCAGATGCTTTCATCTGACAAACTGGACTTCGTGCGCTCCTACCACGCTGGCCATATATGAAGGGGACCAGTCTGACTGAGGCTTCCTCTGGAAAACTTGGATCCAAGCTGAGGAGGGTGTGGACAAGCCATTTTGGGTGTGATGGGGACATTAAAAGAGATAGAGAGAGTACAACAGGCTTCCTGGGGACAGTGGCTTCTGAGCTGCTTGGCTGAGGTCTCTCAATCTAGATCTTACCCTAAGCTGGATCTCAGAGGAGGCAGAGACAGGAGAGTCACCAAAGTATGGGAGATGACAGAGTGACTCTATTGGGCTGGGGCAGAGAGGGAGGCCTCTAAGACAGGTGCTGGACTGGAGATCAACTGACTGTGGCAACTGGTGTTAACCTGAAACTTGTGCCAGGTTCTGTGATGAATACTCTGCTGTGGGATGGAATTTAGATGTATCCCAAGAGCACCAGGGAGCCCTGGAATACTTTAAGACAAGGGGATGGTCTCAGTCTCCGTGAGTGTCCGGAGCTAGCCATTAGGGTCTTGGTTCTGGAAATTAACTAATGGAGGATTAGAAAGTGTCAGTGACAGGCCAAATTACACAGCTACAGCAGAAGCCTGGCTGGATCCCTGTTCACCTGCCAGTCAGGACGCCTGGAGTGGATGCTCTGTTCCCAGTGACAATTGTCACTATACTTCTTCCCAGCAGAACAGGAAGAAGCTGACTGCTCGATCTGCGAGCTCTGCCAGGGCTGAGCCCTGGGGCTCTGCAGGCTGCTCACACGTTGCTGGAGCCTGTGCCTGGATTTGAGCAGAAGCCCCCGCCCCCCTGATACCCAGACAGCATCGTATCTCTGTTTTCTCTGCAGATGAGTGGGGCTGACCTCGGGGATGATGATGAAGCCTCCCGGAAGAGAAAGAGCAAAAACATGTAGGTTGGGAAGATCCTGATCGTCGTCCCCCTGCCCAGGGAGTCTCCTGCCATCCCTTTTCTGCCCCATACTGCTATCCCGGATGGGGGGTGGATGGGGGAAAAGGAAGGTTTGTACCCCCACCCCACCCACTCCCCCAAACAGACACTAAAAAGCAGTGAGATGTTGAAGACCCAGGGTCTTGAATATGTATTTTCTCAGAGATAGACAGGAACCAAGTAGCCCTGTCCTGGCCTAACCTCTGAGCCAAACAGTGATGTAGAAAAGTCCTTGGCACACAAAGAGCTGAACTGACATTTCTCTGAAGTTCCTGAATGCTAACAGTCTCATGCATGACCAGGAGGGGGCACTGTTGGCCCAGCTACACTATACCATCCTCTGTAAAGTCAGTCCAGGCTCCCTACACCCTACAGTTGTGAAGGTTTATTTCTGGTGCCAGTTACAAGGTGTCTGGGTTGTGAGGGATGGTATATGTGGGTGGTGTGTGCTTGTGTGTGTGTGTGTGTGTGTAGGGGGGGTGTAGATGTGCATGTGCATACATAGGTGTGTGTGTGTGTGTGTGTGTTGCTCCTATTAGGTTTCCTCAAATCTTCAGTTTGAGGCCCTGGAGACTGGAGGAGCACAGTTACAGGGAGTAGTCTGTGGGGGTGTGACCCCCAGAGGGAGCACATTGCCCCAGAGGGACGCCACTTTCCCTGCAGGTTCAGTAGCATCCACAGATCAGAAGGAATTAGAACTGGGGAAGAGGACCAGATTCTTCCCAGGCAGGATGCCTTAGTAACCCTCATCTCTAGCACAGACCTTGCCTGGAGCCCACTGCTCCGTGAACCCACTTTCTCCAACTTCCATGCCCTCTCCTGTTTTTAGCAGCAACAGTGGGCTTTCTCTCAGTCTGCTGCTGGAGACAGTAAAATGTATGAACAGCAATGTTCTTCACAGACACTCTCCATTTAGCTGCAGTTTGTGAGGATGAGAGCTGCTGTGGGGATACCTTGGTGGTGGAGGGTGGAATCCCCCTCACTCCAGCTTCCTGTCAAAGTAGGCGTGGTCTTTTGAATGTCTGGAGTTCACATTCCTCAAAGCTTAGACAGGACTCTAAGCGTCTGATATGAACACAATAGCCGGAGTATTCATTGTGCCGGGTTCTGGGTTCTATATGCATTACGTAGGTGATCTAATTTAAGCTTTGCCATTACTTCGCATGTCCTTTTTATTTGCTATACCCTCATTTTACAAAAGGAAGCAGACTTATGAAGAGGTTGGTTACTTGTCCAACCCCATAACAAGAGAATGGGGACCAGAATGGGATGCCAGTCTGCTCTGGAGTTCCCATCCTTACCCAGGAAGCTGCTGGCCTCTGGACTTCTTGGTGTTATCTCACTGGCTTGGAACCTGCATCAGGGTCTCATCTCTGGGCAGCTGCTCCTGAATCCCAGGACAGGTGTGACTGTAGCTTTTTAGGACCTAGCACCTTTGTTCCAGGCTCATACATATGCCACCTTATCTGCAAAACACACACACACACACACACACACACACACACACACACACAGAGAGAGAGAGAGAGAGAGAGAGAGAGAGAGAGAGAGAGAGAGAGAGAGAGAATACCCAGGAGGTGGCAGGAGTATCATCCTTGTTAGATACACAGGGAATTTGACCCCTGGAGCAGTTAGGGGACTGGAGACCTCAGATTGGGGGAGCTTGGCCTTGACCTCAAGGCTGTCGGTCTCCATTGCTGAGCTGCTAACCTCCACCAGGTATAGTGCCACACATGATCCCAGAGGTCCTGGGCATTTAGGATTGGATGGCTTCACAAAGAGAAATTCCATAAACTATCTAGAAAATTAATTATTTAAGTTTCTTGGCTTCGTGACTTTGATAATGTAAACTTTATTTGCATCTTTCATTTTAGCCAACACTTTGCACCTTCAGAATTACGGAGAACAAAAGCCAAAATGAAAAAAAGATTATTCAATCACAAAACTAGATATGCATAGAAATTAAGTAAGCCATCAAATGATTCTCCCCTTTCCCCCCAAGTTTGTAGTATTTACGATTTAGGTTATGCAAGCTTTGAACTACCAAGACTTTTGGGGCCTCTTGTATAGCAGAGAGGATCCTCTCTGATGCCAGTGAGGAGCTTGCAGGAGCTGGCAGAGAACCATGGACTAGTGCTGTGAAGTAGAACAAGGGACCTTTAACCCTTTTTTCACCAGCAGCTTCCCGAAGGCTAAAATCTGCCTCTGGGAGGAGCAGCCTGGCTAAAAATGGTTTTTGGCTAAAAATAGCCGGTTCTGCCACCCTGGTGGGCAGACTCTCCTTCCCTCCCTCCTTCCTGCCCAGCAATTTGCTGAATTGCCCCCCTTGTTGCCACGGTAACAAGGGAGGTGGGTCACAAATAACTGGGTCTGGCTTTCTGCCTGGGGCTGGCCCCAGGGGCTGTCCTTTACAAACACATGCCCCTTTCACGCTGCCTCTCAGGGTTGGCCAGGAGAGCTGTTTTTCTCTGCTCCCCCCTCTGGTCCCTCCCATTTCCTGGCTCCGCCTGTCTGAGTCTCAGCCCGGCTTGTGCCTGGAGTCCAGTCATCCCAGCCAGGATTCCAGAGAGAGAAAGAGAGAGAGAGACAGAGACAGAGAGAGACAGAGTCAGAGACAGAGTCAGAGACAGAGTCAGAGATAGAGTCAGAGAGAGACAGAGAGAGACAGAGACAGAGAGCAAGAGAGTGCAATCCAGCCCTCCGCAGCCTGCAGTTTGCCTGGAAGCCTAGGAACCCTGTGGCAGGCAGGAGCCTGAGGGTGCTCAGTTTATCCCAAGTCGCAAGGTGGGGGACTCTTCAGAGATGCTCAGAGGCATGTACCTCACACGCAATGGGAACCTACAGAGGCGGCACACCATGAAGGAGTAGGTGCCCCTCGCTCCAGTTTGCAGCCTCCTGCACCTCAAGTTAGCAGGGGTGGTGTGGGCCAAACTGATTAACTCTCCTCTCTGCTTCTGCCCCCAGAGCCAAGGACATGAAGAATAAGCTGGCTATCTTCAGGCGGCGGAATGAATCTCCGGGGGCCCAGCCAGCCAGCAAGACAGACAAGACGACAAAATCCTTCAAGTAGGTACCTTCTGCCATCCTGAGACTCTGGTGATCACTGGCTTTTAAAGAGAGTGACTGGGCAGTGGGGTTGGGGGACCCTTTGTTCACTGGATCCTACTACAAGGTGAGGGAAACTTTTGTTTTTGGGGAGCCCAGTATCTAGCAAGCAACTCCTTCCAGAAGGCCAGGCAGGGGTGGTAGGGGCTAGAATTATCTTTGGCTTCCCAGCTGGATGAGGTCCTTATGCATTCCTACCCTCACCCTTTAGGCCTACCTCGGAGGAAGCCCTCAAATGGAGCGAGTCCCTGGAGAAGCTGCTGCTTCACAAATGTGAGTAGGGGCCAGCCACTCTGTCTCACCACCCTACCCATCTTCCCATAACTCAACCTAGAGAGTGTCCACCAGAAGTGCCTTCACAGTTTCCTGGTCCCAGTCAGGTGTCGCTGCTCTTAGAGAACAGAAGGGCACACCAGGGCCCTTAGTTTGGCCTTTGGATTGGCTCCTGCCAGCCCCTCCCTACTCGTGAGAGCTAGCCCTGCCTGCCAGAGGCCGTTGGGACCTGTGTGCTCAGACCATATCCTCAGAATAAGGGCAAACATTTCCACGTATTGAGGGCTCACACTGGGCCAAGTGTGCCTGGTACCTCCAGGGCAGGTTCCCTATGATCTCCTAGGGCTCCAGGAGATGGGTTGGATAATGCTTGTTTTACAGAGGAAGACACTAAGGCATAGATGTGGAGGACACCAGCCAAAGCCCCAAACAAGATACTCACAGGGCTAGGGCCTTGTCCAAGTGCATCGTCAGTCTTTGGGAGCTGAGACTCTTACTGAGTTCTCAGCATGTCCCCTCTCAAGGCTCTTGGAGGGGGTGCAGCATGTGTGTGGGGGTGCTAAAGGCAGGCAAACCTGGCTGCACCTCTCACCCTGGCCTGGTCTTCCCCTCACAGATGGCTTAGAAGTGTTCCAAGCCTTCCTTCGCACTGAGTTCAGTGAGGAGAACCTGGAGTTCTGGCTAGCTTGCGAGGACTTCAAGAAAGTCAAATCACAGTCCAAGATGGCAGCCAAAGCCAAGAAGATCTTCGCCGAATTCATCGCGATCCAGGCTTGCAAGGAGGTAAGACTTTAGGCTAGGATTTTGGGTCCTCAGCCCCTCTGGCTCAAGAAGTTTTCTGTGACTAGAAGGCAGCCAACAGCTCAGGAAGGGTAGAGGCTCCAGTAACTCTTAGCGTTTAGTCTGCCAGGTAAAGCAGAGAACAGGAAAACAGTAGCTCATAGCAAAAATGGTCTGGCTCGGTACTGCCATGTGACAGGCACGTGCTGAGCTCCTATGTTTAGTTCTATTATGACCTCTCAAACAACTCTGAATATTATCCTCATTTTAAAAACCAAGAGTCTGGGCTGGGGCAGTAGCTCAGTTGGTCAAGTGCTTGCCTTGCAAGCATAAAGGCCAAAACTTGATCCCCATGCAACTCAAAAACCAGGCATTGTGGCATGTGCTTGTAATTCCCTCTCAGGAGGCAGACAGGATGGTTCAGTCTGTGAACCCCAGGTCCCCAGAAGGAAAGGTGGACTGCATCTGAGGAATGACAGCCGAGGTTGTCTTTGGCCACCATGTGCAATCATGCACGTGGACACACACAGTCACCCACAAAACAGAGCATCTTAGAGAGCCTGATCAGAGACTTCATTCCCATCGCGTGCCCTCTGTGTGTGGGCACTCCGGCATGGTTCTCATGGCTCTAAGGATAGATAGAACCATCTAGCCCACATATAGAAAAACTGAGGGACAATGTCCCCGAGTGAGTCTCTCAAGGTGCTGGTCCACGAATCTCCACAGTCTGGCCAGCCCTAGGAGTTGCGTTATCAAGCGTCATAAATTCTGCCACCCAGCAGCACGTGACTGACCCAGGTCTTGAGGCCCTTTGTAGTGTCACATGGCTATAGTGGACCCATTGTTTCCTTGGCATTTGGCCTCCAGACAAGCAGACCTGACCATGTCCCTCTGTGACTCCTCAGGTAAACCTGGACTCGTACACACGAGAACACACCAAGGACAACTTGCAGAGTGTCACAAGAGGCTGCTTTGACCTGGCACAAAAACGTATCTTTGGGCTCATGGAAAAGGACTCATACCCTCGCTTCCTCCGCTCTGACCTCTACTTGGACCTCATTAACCAGAAGAAGATGAGTCCCCCGCTCTAGGGACCGCCACTATCCAGCTCAGCATTCACACCAAGCGGAGGGGGCTCCCTGCCCACCCGCCTCCCTCCCCTGTGACGGAGGGGGCAAGCGAGCCCCCAGAGGCTGTGTCTCCAGACAGACAGATGGACATTTGGATTCGCGGCCTGGACTGAGAGAGATCCAGGCCACTCCAGGAGTAGGAGGACAGGCTGCATCAGGTCCTCAATGCCCCGGTACGAGGGGACCAAGGGCCCTGACAGGTCAGGGGCCCCGGTGGAGCCAGATCAGGAGCTGTGGCTCCATGCTTTGGAGATTCGGAGACTTCACACTGACCAAGTTCTTAGAGAACTGGCTGGGGGATCAGGAGGCCCAGGCCTGGGCTCTGGGGCTATCCTGGGGGCTGTTGGGACTCACAGCTCAGATCTTCCCCCATTGAATTTTATTTATTTAAACAGTAGTTGGATGCTTGGCACATGAACTGTAATAGGAAACCCTCGCCCTGTCAGTTTTCTTAACTTACAAGTGCAATATCTTAATCAATGCCTTGTTAAAGCCACCTGTGGAGGTGACCGCCATCCTACAGTTTCAGGGCATTTGCTGGTCCCAGGAACCAGTGGTGGCAGCTGGGTCTTCTAGACTGACAAGGCCTTGGCGGTGGTGGGGGGGATGCTGCAGAAATCTGGCACCCCCTGGGAAGGTGTCCCCCAAGAGATCTGGGAAGGCATAGTGCCCTCCGGCCACACCGTAACGAGCGCTGGAACAAATAAAAGGCCTGTGTTATTCTCATTCTTGGACTTCTCTGTGTGTCCCTAGTCTCTAGCCTTCATGGGTAGCTGGCCTGGGAGGTTCCCTGTCGCCCCAACAGCTACTTCTTTCTTGCTACCCACCGATTGAGCACCCGGAGGGCAGACACGCTGCAGCACTGGGGAGGGTTGCTTCCTCTGCTGGGCCACATGCTGCTGGGGATCTTGGCATTTTCCTCGTTTGTTCAGAAAAGGACAGTGAAGCAAGTTAGGTGACTTGGGTAGGGTCCTTGGGCAGCAGGTGACAGAGACAGTCTAACTGAATGAAGCCTGGTTGGCCATGAAGATTGTGTACTGAGATGGCAGCTCAGTGGGCTGACTAGCTGCCTATGGGACCTAGTCGGTTCTTCCCTTTTACCCTGCTACATCCTGCACTATTAATGGAATATTCAGGTACCCTGGGATGGATGAAAGAGAGATGAATGGGGCCAAAGTCTCGGGTAGCGTGGCAGTAGCTCAGGAAGAGGCACAGGACATAGGACTCCAGAGTTCCTCTGAGGCCTTGGGCCCATCTCTCTCCTTTGTGTCCTGCTTCCCCTCCCATGTAGTAAAGGGTACAAATGTAGAGGGAGCCTGCTATAAAGGAATACTTGAGGGTAGTATACTCTTGCCTAGACAGAGAAGACCCAAAACCGGAGCCAATATGATACCCAGGCAGGCCCTGAAGCCCACACATTCAACCTCATGAGGCATGGTCCAGAGTAACACTAGCTCTTCTGGGAGACTCAGACAATCTCAATAGAGCAAGTACATGAGAGTATAGGTATAATCCCCTAGATCCTTTTTCTTGCCTGGAGACCTGGGCTCAGGTCTGTCCAGCAGGGAGCTGGAGATGCAGAGGACATGGGCCTGGCAGTCACTCTCTTCTCGGCCATGCTATGTCTGCCCCCTGCACAGGGAGAGCTGCCAATACCCATCACAAAGATTGGGGGCTGAGCCATGCAGGATGCCTGGGTAGGGCATGAGTTTGAGGGGGCCCATGGTGGTACTCCCATTGCAGACCCACAATTTCACTTGACAGGAGTGTGTGAGCCAACCACCTGATTTCTGCACCTCTGCAAAGGCTACACCTTGGGCCTGTCTTGGAAAGACCATCTGGACACTAGGCTAGTCTCTCTCTTTACCAGACAAGCGCCATCAGAGTCAGGCGTGGTTATTCTGTCTCTACAGGCTGTGTGGGTACTAGAATGATACAGTCCTGGGTTGAACCCTGCTGTTGCTACCAACCCCTCTCTAATTGGCCTGTCACTGGGGTGGGGGGGCTCTGATTCAAGTAGGGAAGATGCCGTGGATGACTTAGCTCCAGGATGGAGGCCTAGTGAGCCAGTGCATGTGAGGGATTTGCCCTGTACCAGGCATAAAGCAGGGACTCCACCTATGTTGGTAGTCATTTTGCTCCTCCAGGAGAGTGTTGGGCCCTGGAAACCTAGCAGTAGGCCTAGTCAGTTTGGCTTTGTAAGCAGTGAAGGCCTTTCCCACCACAGAGCCTCATTAAGGCTGAACATTTGGGGAGCAGGGCTGTATTTCTAGTGGAGAGCAGAGGTGTTTCTCAGGCTTCTTCCAGCCTGAGTTGGAAGAACTGACACCTGAGCACTGCAAAGCCACTTCTCCTTCCTCCAAACTGTTGAGAGCAGTGCTAGACCGGAGCCTAGCACCCTGATGCCCTGCTTGGCCTGGCTCCTCTGTGGCTTGGAAAAGCCCCTGGCTACACACAGAGCTTCACCATCCTCTTCCATGGGGTTCCAGGGATGCAGCCATGAGCCAGACCCTCCACCTTCCAAACCCAAGTTGCCATGGAAACCAAAGTCCAGGAGAACAAAGTCAGGCAGATGGAATTCCCATTTCGGAAGGCCCATGGCCTGCTTTCCATGACTCATGCACACCCTGGTTCCTCTGGCTGCAGAATGTCTTTGGCAGTGTGCGGAGCAGCTGGAAGCCAGACTGGAAAGGCTCTGGGTTCTCCTGTCCTGGCCCCACCTGGACTCCCTGCTGGGTGTTTATATGTGTTTGGGCAGACTCTCCTATCCTGTCAGACTTTAGCGCCCTCACCTGTAGAGTGTTTAGGACCAGCAGTCTGGGCTAGGCAATGTGAGTCCCATGCTGGAAAGACCTTTTCTGCACATCCTTTCACACAGCCAGGAAGACCAAGGCATGCCCTAGCTCAGCCAGGGCCTGGAGTCAGCCTCTCTCAGTCCCTAGCTCTGCTTCCTCTTAGTCCTGACCTGGGAATTGGTCTCTCTCTTTAGCCTTTCTGCCTTGGGTTGTGTCCCAAGGGTTGGGACTCTAAGCAAAGCTGTACACAGGGTCACTGGTGGGTGGTCGTGGCATGGGTATGAGTCCTAAACATAAGCTGTTATTGGCAGTCATATTTGGGATCTAACCAGCCCTGAGAGAATGGGGAGATTTTCTTCTCAGGCCCCTGATCCTTGTGTAGCTGGAAGACACAACCAATGTGTCCCCAGGACTAAGTCAGAGACGGCCTGTCCCTTGCATAGCTGCGCCTTAGCCTGGCTGGGAGCAGCTGAGGTCAGCTAGAAGGGCAAATGGGGAAAGCTCAGCAGTTGCCACTCTACGGGTGCCTATGCCAACTCAGTTGGGCTCCATGTGGATGAGTCAAAGACCTCTTGCTTGCTTGGTATGTAAGCAACATATTTTCCTGTCCTACCCTGGCCTGGGATATCCAGTATCCCTAAGCTCCTCCAGCCTGCAAGAAACCAGCTGATCCAACCTGCCATCCCATGCTGGGGCCTTTCCTGGGTTTCTGCTTGCATTCCTTCCCTGACAGGGACTTCATTATTTCCTGAGTGTGTGCAGGAGGGTCTGGGAGCTTCTTGAGGTTGCTCAACTTCTGTCCATCTGTCGTCAGGATCCTGAAGCAGGTCATTGGTAGCCTGTAAAGGACTTTACTCATAGACTCTCTGATTCTAAGCCTCTCTGATGAACCTCTCTGTCCCTTATCCAGATCTTAGGCTAGCACCCCAGCCCCAGGCCTGTTTTTGCCTTAGAATTCTGGATGCTTACTTAAGCCACAGACTCTGAGCTCAGAGGCACACCTTGTTTGCTGTTGTTTTGCTTATAGTTGGCAACATCTGCAGAACATCTGGCTTTGCTTGTCCCCTCCATGATTGAGCTAGGCAGGAAGAAGAGGTACCCAAACCCCCTGCCACATTAGTGCCCTGGGGTGATGGGCTTCCTGAAGAAAAGCTGTGGGACTGTTTCAGGTCAGTTCAAAGAGAGGATGTAGTCAGCGAGGGATGGTAGGACAGCTTGCAGATGAGAATAGTTCCTTCTACTCAAGGCACACTCTGAATGTGGTGCGGTCCCCACCTATCCTCACAGCAGCCTGGGGCAGAAGCTAAGGATTATTTTCATCCCATAAAATAGAAAGTGAAGGTACTAGGGAATGTGGGTGAGCATCTTGCTGATGGCAGTACTGGGACCCCAGTTTCCAATCCCCAAACCCTACCTCATACAGAGCAGGAGGCAGAGAAGACCTTAGGGAGGCAGCTTGGTCTGTAGCCCTCGGAGAGACACAGAGAAGATGGAGAGGTGGCTGGGTCACAGAGGAACCAAGCCTCCAGGTCTGGGCTCAGTGTTTGCTTTTCCTCCTAAGTTCTCAAGTACCAGGAGCTGATTCTATCCCTAGAGTTTGGTGCATTCCAGGCCAGGACCAAAGTGGCTAAGAACAGGACCTTTGGAGGACAGTTGACCTGGGTTGAGCCAGGTTCATGTACTATGGTACTGTGACCTTGGAGAAGTCACATCACCTCTTTGAGCCCCTGCTCCCCCACTGATGAAGAGAGAGGGACAATGGATCTCTGCAACATGAGAGCAAGTGTAAGCTTTCTGTGAGGACTGGCTGCCTGCCTCCCATTCCAGATGCGACTTCTGCCCAGGACCTTTGCATACATGGCTTCGCTACCTCAATATGCTCAATCCTTAGTGTTCCAGTGACAACAGATAGCAGGTTAACATGGATGGAGGGCTAGCTTGTCTGACTTTTCTGTCAGCAAAGAGCCACCACTGTAGCTGCTATGGCAAGGTGTCATAAAGCCAGATTCAGAAGCCAGGCCTTGGCAACTCACCCACGTTGATGTCCAGACTTGAACAGGTTGCTTCCCTTTCCTGGCCTCAGTTTACCCTTTAGTATGTGGGAATGGTGCAGAAATAGCATCAAAAGGCAGCCATGGCAGGCCCTACGTGCAGAGTGCACACAGGGGAAGTCTAGCAACTCTAAACTCACGAAATCTCTGACTTCTCGGTAGGGAAAGGGATGCAGAAGTGAGCGTAGTGTGCACATGGCACCTGGGGAGTGGAGGCAGGGAGGCTCAGGAGCTCAAGGTCAGTCTTGGCTACATAGCAACTTCTGGGATAGATTGGAATACATGAAACCTTGTTAAAAAAAAACAAGCAAGTAAAAACAACTCTTAACCCCCAAACCAAACACAACCTGAGGCACAGAGTCTGTCTTGCCCTTGGGGACTCGGGAAAGAGGAATGGGTTGTGATGGCTCCAGGACCATTACAACCTTGAGCTCAAGGCTGTATTCCATCCCTCAACCCTATTTCTGAAGCTTGCTTTAGCTATCCCCTCTTCAGGAAAGCTTTCCCAGACAGTTATATTACCTGCAGGAGGTCTTGCTGTCTATTCAGAATGGCTGGGGTCTTTCCTTCCTTACCTGTCACAGGTTGTAACTGCCTGTCCCCATGAGTTCATTTTTGTTGCTGTCTCTCCTTTTCAACAGTAAAGTTCTTGGGAATGGGTTCCCCTTTCTGTCTTACCCTTCATTGCATCCCCAGTCTTATCACAGGCTTTGACATGTGACCAGTCCTTAGTTGGTGCCTATTTAATGGCTGGGCATGTTACTCAGTATGTGGGCTGAGGACAGGCTCAAACTTAGGAATCTGAGTTTAGAACATATGTAAAAAGCAGAACATAGCATACATGCTTGTCACCCCAGCACGGGTGGTGGGGGGTGGTGGG